TGGCTCATAAAAAAATAATTCCCCATTAAAAAATACCAGAAGAGGAAGGCTCGTAGCTTTTCCTGTCCCCCCCCCCCCATTCGGGCCTGTCGTAGAGGGTCACCCTCAAGTGGGGACTGTCGTAGAGGGTCACCCTCAAGTGGGGACTGTCGTAGAGGGTCACCCTCAAGTGGGGACTGTCGTAGAGGGTCACCCTCAAGTGTTACTTTCGTAGGGCAGTAAACCCCTCACTAAAGACAGACGTCCTAGTGAGGGGGAAATGTCCCCAGTGGGTGGCGGACGTCCCCAGGGGGTGGCGGACGTCCCCAGTGGGTGGCGGACGTCCCCAGGGGGTGGCGGACGTCCCCAGGGGGTGGCGGACGTCCCCAGGGAGTGGAGGACGTCCCCAGTAGGTGGCGGACGGCCCCAGTGAGTGGCGGACGTCCCCAGTAGGTGACGGACGTCCCCAGTGGGTGGCGGACGTCCCCAGTGGGTGGCGGAGGTCCCCAGGGGGCGGTGGGGGCGGAGGATGAGGGATGGGTGATGGTCTTGTCTCCCCAGGGCTCTATATCACCGCCCCGAGACACGGCAAGAAACATCAGGGAAATAACAGGAGATAAACCTTGGCGTTATTGTCCCTATTCTGGCTTCTCTGGTGGAGCTGTGTGTAGGTGGGTGTTGTGTAGGTGGGTGTTGTGTAGGTGGGTGTTGTGAAGGTGGGTGTTGTGTAGGTGGGTGTTGTGTAGGTGGGTGTTGTGTAGGTGGGTGTTGTGTAGGTGGGTGTTGGTGTAGGTGGGTGTTGTGTAGGTGGGTGTTGGTGTAGGTGGGGGTTGGTGTAGGTGGGTGTTAGTGTAGGTGGGTGTTTGCATGGATGTGTGGTGTGTGTGGGCTTACCTACATTAACACCACTTGGGGTATTATTAACACCACCTCTGAAGAACAAACGATTTACCATTATCTCTAATTTTTATCACCTCTATTAAATTTAAAATATTACAACAATATCAAATATTTTGTTTTTAATTGTTTTTTCCTTCGCATAAATATTTTAAAAGTTCACAGTAGCGTTGTGTCACGTTGGTTGGGAGTCAAAAATGTGACGCCCCCCATCAGCGACTCATCCATGTAACACGACAAAGCACTTAAGCTTTCCCCCTCACCAAACACGACCTACGCTCAGCTTACCTTCATAGCACGAAAGCTATAAATAAATAAATGAAATGGTCAACAAAAATGCTCTTAAGAGGATCAAACATTGTATTTTGTATTAAGTCCTTGACAAAACAAATGAAAAACTTGGGTTTTGTGTGTGTGTGTGTGTGTGTTTTTTTTCTCGTAGGGGGGAATCCTCATGCAGCGTCTCTCGTGTGTTTTATGAGGTGGAAGACCTCATATTCTGGTAGCCCGGTGAGGCTAAGGTAATGTGTTCATTCTCATTTTTACTCAAACATTTTTCTTCTTTGTTTACATGCACAGCTGTGAGGGAAACGTTTTAAAAGTGTGTACCAGACACCTGGAAACGTACAACGTTATATTTCTCGTGTAGTTTATTGGGGGGCTGCTTTTCAACCAGTTATACCTGCCTCTATGGTTATATTACGGTGAATGTTTGTGGAAATTGGAAAATAACTTCTTACATGTTATGTTTCTGTGTGTGTGTGTGTGTGTGTGTGTGTGTGTGGTGTGTGTGTGTGTGTGTGTGTGTGTGTGTGTGTGTGTGTGTTTTATATGAACGAATGGCCGAATTTTAGGCGTATATCTGTGCGTATATTTGTTTAGCTGTTAATAATTACATATATATTACGCTGCAGTTAGCGTGGACTGCGGATAACTTGGGCCCTATATATGCCCTGTCCACACACCTTAAGACACCTCAGTTTCGTCGTTACTGATGACTGCGTTAACAATTTCCGGTGCTTTAGTGAAATGAAGTTGATGGAAGGTACCTTCCTCGGACTAATGTTCGAACTCCTCCGACTTTAATGTTGTGTGTGTGTTAAAAACTAATATTTTCTCAGAAATAAATATTATATATTTTACGAGATGTAAATACGAGAATCTTACGTATATACGAGAATCTTACGTATATACGAGAATATTTATATATTACGTATATATATACGAGTATATACGAGAAGTTCAACGGGCAAGTGAACCGAGAATCCATCAATCATTTACAGCCTCACTTTAAGAAACTTGCACATCCTTCATCGATCAAGGAGGCTCAGTCTATTAATTAAACAGCTTAATTAATATCTGTTTAATTAATAAACTTCAAAACTTCCCATCACGAGGTTATAATTATTATAGGAAACCTCTCACAGTGCGACGACGCGCTCCGTCATCAGCTGTTTAGGAACGGTAAACAAAGCCGCCATGGTTGACGAAAGATGGACTGGTTTCGTTAGTCGACACGAAAATGCCTGATGAGCCCTGGCCCAGGTTTTGGGCGAGTAGACAGGATTTCCAGCACGTTAACAACGTTTTAAGCACGTTGATAACGTTTCGGACAAGTAAACAACGTTTCGAACAAGTAGAAAATCTTTGGACCAAGCAGACAACGCTTCGAACACTTGATCAACGTTTCGAACAAGTGAACAACGTTTCGGACAAGTGAACAACGTTTCGAACAAGTGAACAACGTTTCGAACAATTGAACAACGTTTCGAACAAGTGAACAACGTTTCGGACGAGAGGACAAAATTTGGATTAGACGCGTTTCATAACTCCTAACCTTGCACCTTGAGGTTATCTTGAGACGATTTCGGGGCTTAGCGTCCCCGCGGCCCGGTCCTCGACCAGGCCTCCTTTTTGTTACACACACCCCAGGAAGCAGCCCGTAGCAGCTGTCCAACTCCTAGGTACCTATTTACTGCTAGGTGAACAGACGCATCAGGGTGAAAGAAACTCTGACCATTTGTTTCCGCTTCCGCCGGGGATCGAATCCGGAACCTCGGGACTACGAATCCCGAGCGCTGTCCACTCAGCTTTTTATCCGAACAGCTGGTGAGGTCAACCCTGACAGCCTGACACAGCTGACCTGACAGCTGACAGCTGTGTGGACAGCGCTTCGGATTCGTAGTCCTGGGGTTCCGGGTTCGATCCCCGGTGGAGGCGGAGACAAATGGGCAGAATTTCTTTCACCCTAATGGTTCCTGTTCATCTGGCAGTAAATAGGTATCTGTGAGTTAGACAGCTGCTACGGGCTGCTTCCTGGGGGTGTATCAAAAGGAGGCTTGGTCGAGGACCGGGCCGCGGGGACGCTAAGCCCCGAAATCATCTCAAGATAACCTCAAGATAACCTAACCCGTCAAATTCAGCTTCAGTGAACAGAAGAGAAGTCGACCCCATCAATCCTGCTTCAGATAGACTCTCCATTGCCGCTTCACTAAACATCAGAGGCAAACCCAACATTTTCAGTCATATTTGAAACATTACTGTTTCAAATATGACTGAAAAAATGTAGTAGATTTTTAAAACACAGGCTTCCATGTTTTTTGTTTTTTTGTAAGGTTTTTGGTAAGGATTGGGAGTGTGTGTGTGTGTGTGTGTGTGTGTGTGTGTGTGTGTGTGTGTGTGTGTGTGTGTGTGTGTGTGTGTGTATCGCTTCCGCATTAGTAACCCAGAGCCTCCCCTCGCTCGGATAGAAAATTAGTAAAAAAAAAAAAAATAAACTTTTGAAAAACAAAATTATATGAGCTCTCGGCGACCCCCCAAGCTCCACCTCCCCCCCCCCTCCTCTCCTCACTGCCCTCTGTCCTCCACCAATGAGAATTCCACTAAATAAACTGCAAATTGGATGGACTAATCAGCTCCTGTATTTTAGTTTAAATGCTTTTGTATATAATAATTATATATATATATATATATATATAATAATTATATATATATATATATATATATATATATATATATATATATATATATATATATATATATATATATGTCGTACCTAATAGCCAGAACGTACTTCTCGGCCTACTATGCAAGGCCCGATTTGCCTAATAAGCCAAGTTTTCCTGAATTAATATATTTTCTCTATTTTTTTTCTTATGAAATGATAAAGCTACCCATTTCATTATGTATGAGGTCAAATTTTTTTATTGTAGTTAAAATTAACGTAGATATAGGACCGAACCTAACCAACCCTACCTAACCTAACGTATCTTTATAGGTTAGGTTAGGTTAGGTAGCCGAAAAAGTTAGGTTAGGTTAGGTTAGGTAGGTTAGGTTGTTGAAAAAAACATTACTTCGTGAAAACTTTGCTTATTTGGCAAATCGGGCCTTGCATAGTAGGCTGAGAAGTGCGTTCTGGCTACTAGGTACGACATATATATATATAATATATACAAAATATATGTATATATACACACAGAGAGAGAGAGAGAGAGAGAGAGAGAGAGAGAGAGAGAGAGAGAGAGAGAGAGAGAGAGAGAGGATATGTCGGAAAAAAGATGTCTGAACGTATACATTTTTAAGGTCAGTGGTTCGAGGTCTCTCCATGACCAAACTACTGACCATCCTCAAGATACAGCCGCTCAACCGTTCCGTAAATCCCTGGATACATATTCACTGACAGGTAAACAAAAGCATTTAGGAGAAAGGAAACGTGCCCCCCAATCATTTCTAATCCTTCCGGGAACCGAACCCGGGATCACACAAATTGTGGGTCGAAAACGAAGCCATTGTTTTTATGTTGGCACATTTTTTTTAGCCAATATAAAAACAAAACTTAACCGGACGTGAAAGGTTTGAAACACGCGCAAGGACAAGTTTGCCTACGCGAACATGGACATATCTGCCTGTACGTAATGTTGAAGGTTGTTATATATGAAACAAATGATACTTTCCATGCACCAACAAGCACAGGAACAAGTACACTATACACCCACCATTAGCACAGCTCGCGTATAGGAGCAAGAACAGCTGGCGAACGGAAAGTAAACAAAAAAAAATTGAAAGAAAGAAAACGGTGAACACGAAGGAGAAAAAAAAAACTAATTTGCAAGGGGGTACTTTACCTTTGTGCTTGGAGGAGGGCGTGGTGGTCGTGGGGCTGGTGGTGGCGGTCGTGGTGGTGTTGTCCAGGTCGTCCGTGCCCGGGTCGACGCCCTCGACGACACCCTTGGTCATGTGGGCCGAACATCCATTGGTCAACCGGGACAGTGAACCACCCTGTAGGGGGGGGAGCGGGCACAGGGGGGGGGGAGAGAGGAAGATCAGACGATAATATGGCTTTGGTGTTTAGGTCCTGTTTGTTGTGCTGGTTGTGTGTGTGTGTGTGTGTGTGTGTGTGTGTGTGTGTGTGTGTGTGTGTGTGTGTGTGTGTGTGTGTGTGTGTGTGTGTGTGTGTTTTATGTTTGTTGTGTGAGGGTGTCCCGTTTGGTGTGTTTGTGAATGTGTGAGGTTCTAGTGTGTGTGTTTGCTGTGTGTTTGTCCGTGTTGATCATACATGTGTGTGTGTGCCTGTATATGTTCGTGTGTTTGCGTATATAGGTGCATGTGTGCTCGAGTGTATATATATATATGTATGCGTATGTGTGTATGTATACATGTAGGTCCGTGTGTGTTTGTGTGTATTAATGCTAAGGTGTGTATTCATGTATACTAAACTCAGTAGCACACCAATCACTAGCTGTATAAATTATTGAAACTGTCATTCAACTATTGAAACGATTATTTAAACATCACGACAATATAAAATGTAATAGTTTACACACATATATATTATATAACAAGAAAGAAACCTTTGTAAACAAAGCAAACTAAAATATATAAAATCGAACCTTAAATAGGGTTCAAATTTCCAGGATCGTGTCAGCAGCAGAGGTAAGTAGTTGAGCAACACAGTGTTACGAGTGAACTACAGGGACGAGGGTGTAGAGGGGGAGGGTGTAGAGGGGGAGGGTGTGGGGGGGAGGTAAGGGGGGGGAGGTAAGGGAGGGGAGGTAAGGGGGGGAGGTAAGGGGGGGAGGTAAGGGGGGGGAGGTAAGGGGGGGAGGAAGGAGGCCAGGTGTACTACCCTAGGCGGATCACCTTAGTTCCTGCTGTTCCCGCTGGGAGTTGTTTGGCGCTGGTGTTGATAAGTTATTCTCCTCCAAGTATTTCTTGATAATAGTTATGTTTATTATAAATTCTTGGCAATACGAGATTAAAAAAATATATTATTTTATCAGTATGGGATTTTTTTTTTTAATGTGTAAAATAGTTTAAAATTACATTTATTTTGTATTTTTATTGTTTTTGCAATTTGTTTCGAAATGTAAGTCTTGTTTGTGGTGTCACCGGCCAATTAGATCACCAACAAATCTTAAAATTACAAAGATTTATGTTCACAAGAAATAGATCGACACTTACGGCTCTTGGGTCAATATTTTGGGACGAAAATAGATGCTAATCTATTAGTTATTGATTACATATGATTAATTACTTAAGGTATCCGTGTAAGCTGTTAATTACGTAAGATGTCTTGAGTGTTAGTATCAACATGTGATTCTTCCCTCTCACCATCCTCGTTCGATCCCTCCTTTGTGCCAAGACGTATTTCCTGAAATCATAGAGTCTGCAGAGACTCTAAACGAGGCGAAAGAGCTCATAGCAATTTTTCCCCATTTTATCACTGTCGTGAATTTGCATGTGAATGAAAAGTTATTTTCTCACGATACTTGTGGACTGGATCTTAAATGACTCGGATGCAGAGATCGATTGTTAACGGGATATGATATTGGTGCTCCAGGGTGGGGTTACCGCTTCAGGTGAGCACCAGTTTGGCTACTTCTGAGACACTTTTTTTATAGTGAGCATCTGGAGGGAATCTGAATCTTGGGGACCAGATTCACGAAGCAGTTACGCAAGTACTTACGAACGTTGTACATCTTTCCTCGATCCTTGACGGCTTTGGTTACATTTATTAAACGATTTACAAGCGTGAAAACTTCCCAAATCAACTGTTGTTGTTGTTATAAACAGCCTCCTGGTGCTTCGGAGCTCATTAACTGTTTTATAATTGTAAACAAAGCAGCCAAAGATTGAGAAAAGATGTACAGGTTCGTAAGTTCTGGTGTAACTGCTTCGTGAATCTGGCCCCAGGTCGCTAGAGCGACGATTTCCTGCTTCTCGTGCCTAAAAATCGATTCGCGCTCATTATAATAGTGAGTGATGGAGTGGGTGTGGTGATGGAGGAGAAGATCTGTAAGCTCTCATTTGCATGGTTCAAATAATATGTCTTAAACAAACGTAAAATGTCACACAAATACGAAATTTAACATGGAACTACGCTATAAAGTATAGAAATGAG